ACCCAACAACAAACTCGAAATAAACCCGAAGCAACTAGTTGTTAAATCCGCAGACGCTACACCAATCCGATCAAGAAAGACTAAAAATGTTTATGTAAATTATCAAAAAAAAAAGTATAACAATTCTTAAAATATTTATGTAAGTTACATAAAAATTAAAGTTATATTTATTTTCTTTCGTAGATAATAAAATTGTGCTAAATGATTTTAACAAAATATTTGATTCAATTATTAATAATATTTTTTTTAAATTATTAATTAATCAAGATATGCGAAGTTGACAAATTATTTATATTCATATCATGTATAACTAGTTGTGTACCCGCGCAACGCGGCGGAAACCATGAATTTTAACAATTTTGAAGTTCCATTGGTCTTTACATATTAATACAATTTGAATAAATAATAGTTATGGTTCCAATTACAGATTATCGATGAAAAAAATTGTATGACAGTTTAAAATCCAATATATTTAAAATCCAGCATATTTAAATGACTCCACAAATGTATTCGATTTACGCCAAGAGCAAAGAACCAAGAAACTTGAGTTTTAAGATAAACACTCAAAACCAATAAAGAAAACTACAAATTTGATAGATCATAAGCCATGAAAAGACAAAAAAATATGGGTTTTAGAATGAAATTTCAACTACTTACCCTCTTTCTTATCCAAAAACTCATATTAAAGTTGAATTAATACATGTATATATATTTCAAAAAAACCCAAGAACATATTAATTCAAAACATATTATACAGTGCAATTTGGACAGCCTAACCCCAAAATATATAGCATACATATAAATAAATAACTATAAAAGTATAAATCATAAATATTAAAAATATTTTTTCACAGTATATATAATATATAATATAATATATAATAATATAATTAAGTCAAAAACTATTCAATATTGGACTCATTTCGAAAGTATTAACGAGACGATTATAATGGTGTAACTTGTTAAAATAAAAATGTATTTTTTAAACATGTTTTAATTGATATACGATTATGTATGTTAATTTGATAAAGGTTTAAAATGAACATTTAAAAGTAAATGACGTAAAGTAAATTAATTATAGGGATATAAAGTGTAAATTTAAAATTATAATTTTAAAAAAATCGGTTGAGAGGGGGTGAGTGTATGTGAGGGGGTGAGTGTATGTGAGGAGAGGAGGGGGTGAAAAAGTGAAAAAAGTGAGTATAAAATGTATTTTGGTCTTTTAATATTTTAAGACTTTAAGACTTTTGTTAAATTTGTTTAATAAGATAGTATAGATAATTATTTAAAATCATGAATGAATGTAGATTTTTCCTAAAATTTGTTTTAACACATCCAAACTTTTATATAATGTATACATAATCAATTTGCAAATCTTTTAGTTAACATACTATATTATTTATGCTTGTCTCAACCATTTGATTTGATAATAATACAAATATATCTGATCCAACAATTACAAGGATTCTTAGTATCAGTCTTATGTATATTAGGATTATTATATCAGAATTGATGGCAATTATCTTTCAGATTTGACAACCGAATTCATATTCGGATAATCGGATCTAATGTTAAAAATCAAGTATCCGGATTTTGTTCTCAACATCCAGATTTAATTTAGGATTTGATGCTCAATATTAGGACTACATTTTTTGGTTTCGACATTCGGATACAACATTCAACATCCGAATTTGGAATGTGAATTAGACATCTAAATGCAACCTCTCGTCTTAGTTCCAAAAGCCAAAATGATCTAAGTCTTTTATATCATCCAAGTTTTTACCGATCGATAGAAAGGCCCTAGAAGATAGGTCATTGCAGGTCGAATTTGTTTTTATAATAATCAAGTCAATAATCATAATCAAAACGAATACAAAATG